TTTCAAAGATCAACATCTTCTTTTCTGTGAATGTTCCTAAGGATACCAAAACCATCATCATCACAAGTCTAAGCTTCAAGGAAGTTAGCGATCTCAGCAAATACCTCGGGGTCTCGCTTTGCATAAAAGAGTCACGAAGAAAACGTACCATCCAATAGTACAGAATGTAAGAAACCGCTTGACAGGTTGGAAGGCTAAGTCCTTATCCCTTGTAGGTAGGCTCACTTTAGCCAAGTCTGTACTCTCAACAATTCCCTATTACACAATACAATCTACGATGTTGCCGAAAGGAACTTGTAGTGACCTGGAAAAGCTGATGAGAAATTCTATTTGGGGTCAAACTAAAGAACGAGGTGGTACCCACCTAGTTAACTGGAAGACCCTGTGCAAAACTCCCAAGGAATGCGAGATGGGCATGAAGCAACTTAACTACCAAAATATGGCTTTCATCATGAAACTGGCCTGTCATTTTGTTACTAAGAATGATCAAATGTGGGTTAAAATTCTATAGGGCAAGTACAAAATTAAAGAGATCATTCCCGAATCCCTACCTTACAAAAAATGACTCGCATATATGGAAAGGCCTATGCAAGGCCTATGCAAAGTATGGCTAACCTTTCGAGAAAATGTAGTATGGAACCTGGGGAGCGGTGAACATATTAAATTTTGGGAGGATAATTGGATTAAGGGCTTAGGTCCCCTTCGGATTCATTATCTCCAACCGAACATCATTATTAAAACTCCTTGCAAAGTAAAAGACCTCATCAATGAAAACAACGAATGGAGCTAGGAGAAAATTAGGAACATACTCCCAAATAAAGCTATCCTAGCCCTTGAGGCAAAACCTCACTCGCTCGACCCAGTAATCGAAGATTTTGTTGGTTGGAAAGGCACAGAGAATCGTTCGTTCTCAGTAAATTCATCATACAACCTTGCCCTTAGTTCTAACTGAACAGTCAGACAGAGCCCAAGAGATTCTAGCAAAGTATCAAAACTTCCCTAGAATCAAGGTGTGGTTGTGGCTGGCCAATGACAGGCTACTCACGAATACCGAAAAGGCCAGACGTCATATGGCCATCGACGCTAGGTGCCAATTGCCAAATATCTGGAGCAGACAGAAAACATTGTTCACATCCTTAGATACTGTCCTCCGGCATTCCAAATTTGGAAGAGAATGCTGCCACATGACAAACGTGAGTTTATGAGTTGCCATGTTAAGACCTGACTCATGGAGAATCTGGAGAAATTAAGGGAAACAAATGAAGATATTGGACATTGGCCAACTTTATTTGGAACCACCGTGTGGGTATTATGGGACAGAATGAACAAAACCATTTTTTACCAAGAGAGATGCGAAAAGGAATCAACCTTTAAAAAGGGAATAAGACTGACTAGAGAATTTTTGAACTCCAGGAACCTTAAAACCACGTAGAATGTTCAAACTCAAGGAAAGAGAGAAGAGAAATGGAAAACACCATGTGCCCCTTGGATAAAACTTAACAAAGATGGTAAACGGAAGAGCTCCTCAGGGGAAACATGTGGAGGCGTAATAAGAGATGATATAGGGAACTGGGTACTAGGACGCAAAAAAAAATGGCATTTGCTCGGTGTTGGAAGCCGAACTCTAGGGCATCTTCGAGGGACTTCATATGGCTTGGAAACTTGGCCAGAGACAAGTATAGCTCGAAACGGACAACAAGGAAGCCATCAGACTAATATGAGAAAGGACATATAATAGCAGGAACCTAACCATTGTCCAATATATACATCATATGCTCGAGAAGGATTGGGACGTGAGAGCTATACATATATCAAGGGAAAGTAATAAACTAGCAGATTCCCTCGCCAAACTTGCATGGAATCAGTCTCGTGGCCTGCATGAATTTCAACAAGCCCCAGAGGACGTGGAAGCCATAGTCTAGAAGGAGAAATGTAGACTAGCGTAGTTTATAGTATTTCTTTTGCTAAAAAAAAGCATATTAGAACTGATAATGCAAACCTATGATTGTTATGAATAGGGATGGATACAATTTGATTTGACTCGAAATTTTGTTCGATTCGAATTATAGTTTTATAAATTTAATTCAATTAATTTTTTTAAAAATAAATTTGAGTTATAAAATAAGATTTAAATAACTAGAAATTTTTAATAAGTATATTAATTTTCAGATCAAGTCGAGTTTTTCAATTCTGCATAATATGCCTAATATCACACGTGAAAAAAATGAAAAAAAAATATATGTATACCATATATGGTTATAAAAAAATCATTTAAATTATAATCAGGTAATATAAATCATTATAAATATTTACAATTAAATATAAAAAAAACTTGAACAATTAGATTCAAAATATTTTAAATAAAATATAAATTATAAAATATAAAATATAATCCATCAATTTTGATTAATTTAAAGAAATCAACTCTAATTCGATTGGTAATGGCTATCCAGGGAAATCGAAAGGCAGACAGCCCTGTCGACATGTATATGATCTGCCATTAGACTTAGTCAGTTCAAAGAATCTAAATTTGATCCACGTTGCCCCTGTCAACAAAGGATCCATGGATTTCGCCTTTATTAAAATAATTTTGTATGAAAAATTTATTTAAGACATCATCAACGTTAAAGAAAATGTCGGTTCAACACACTAATAGGGAGACAAACCGGGTTGCTCATTCACTTGCTAAGAGAATACAGACTGGCATAACAAACCCTAAAGAAATAGTTAACAGACTCGGCCACGTCAGCAGATGAGCTCAGCAACTTATGCTTTCCATACTTCAACACGATGATTCCCTTGGATTGTTGGAGACTTGAATAAAATACATAAAATCATGATAGGCCGGATCTTATCTATCGCGTTTGATTCACGGAATGTAAGATTATCAGTGGGAATAAAAGATTACCAGAGAATAGGATTACTGGGAATGTTGTATTTTGTGATTGGTTGGTTTAGCAGGAATGTAAGATTACCGTGTTTGGTTAAAGGAATAAAATATTATTGGAATGTATATTTGACCAAATTATCCTTATTATATATTTATATAATATTACAAATTGTAAAATATTTATATATTTTCTTTAAAAAATTAAATTCATAATATTTATATAATTTTTTTACAAAATTAAAAATATAAAAAATGTTTAATGAATGGGTAAAAAATATTAACCCCTGAACTTCATATAAAATTTTAATTATAGATTTTTTTTTGTAAATCTAAAATAATTTAAGGATAAATTTGTAATTTAACCTTCGTAGAATTTTTATTATTCAATGACAGAAGAAATATATTTTTGAAAAAAAATAAAAATTTAAGGACATTTTAGTCTAAAACGCCGGTAATGTTACAATACCTAAGGGAAGGGAGGTAATGACATTTCCGATAATATACTCCAAAAAATCTACTATTGATAATAAAACATTACCGGGAATGAGATTCTCGGCCAATCAAACATGAGAATGTGAATTTCCATCCCATGAGAATCTCACAATCCTTGAACCAAACACCCCTAAAGGTTCCGTCATGTGTACAGCTCTCAACGGTGGCACGCCCTGGAAATGGAAGACTGTGTCGGGGAGAACATTGAAGCATCTTCCACTGGTTTGGTTATCAAACTGGGGGATTTGAAGGAAGACAGCAAGAGTAGAAGCGCCTGAGGTGAAAAGTAAAAAGTAGAGATTTTGATAGGGACACACGTACGACTTTATATTGTAAATTTGAATTTTTAAATTTGAAAGCGGTGAAAACAGAGTTTTAATAAAAAAATATATAGAAACAAATTAAAATATATAATAATTTCGAATTTTCAGAGGGACAATTACCTTTACCCGTTCCATCGATCCATCTTAGATTTCAAATCTCTTATAATTTTTACTTTGTTTATTTTCTTAGGGCTGTGTTTTTAACTAAATTTAACGTTTTCATTGCTATTAAAATAACATGTTGGTAAAAAGGGGAAAAACACATTTAAGATGATAGGTGGGTACAATTAGGGATGAGAAAGGGTCAGGTTTCGGCCAACCCGACCCGATCTAAAAATTATACACCATTCACTCCATCCGACCCAAATTTGAACCTTTTTTTGAGATAAAATTGGAACCCGATCCGACCCGACCTAAAATAATAGTAAAAAATTATTTTTATTCAATAAAAATAGTGATTTAATTAGAAAAAAATAATATAAAGAGAGATTTTATTGTAATTATTCATAAATATATAAGGTAAAAAAATCGGGTCGGGTCTGGTATTTTTCACCCTAAACCCGAATCCAACCCGACCCGATTTGTTGAGATAAAATCGGAACCTGATCCGACCCAAAATTAAAAAAATATTATTTTTATTCAATAAAAATAGCGATTTAATTGGAAAAAATAATATAAAGAGAGATTTTATTGTAATTATTCATAAATATATAAGGTAAAAAAATCGGGTCGGGTCTAATATTTTTCACCCTAAACCCGAATCCAACCCGACCCGAACACCACCTTTAAAAAACTCAATCTGACCCGACCCGAACCCAAAATTTTTTTTAAAAAGAAACTCAATCCGATTGATCAAATTGGATCAAAATTCGTCGGGTTGGGGTCTATGCCCTATACAATTAAGGGCATGGTAAAGGGGCAGAAAATTCTTGTTCAAATTTTTACATATAAACAATTGAATCTAAATTTAAGTAATGTTCTAACTGATGACCAAAAATAGAACAGAAGAAATCAATTGTACAAATTGAAAAATACAAGGGACAAACGTAAACGACCGTGATTCTACACCTGTCCTCAAGCAACGGGAATATTCCGCTTTTAAATTATCTAGAGCTCTTCCTCAAAGATATACAAATAAGAGAAAAAGGACGAATATTCTCCAGATATCGTGATGTTTCTCAGATGGGTTTTAAATTCCCCTCGTCCCATCGCTGTTCTTCATGTCATCTTGTGAAACAGAAACAGTTCCGATGTCTCTTTCTATCCTCGTCTGATCCTTTCTTCAATTACGAATCTTAGCCAATCCAAGGCCATGGCGGTTCTCAAGGCGGTTCATGTTTGTGATGTAATCTCGATCAAGTCCCGGAGAATGCCGCTTCAGCACTCTGCTCATCTCGTTTCCGGGCAGGTGGTGTTGTGAAATTTCAGTTTCCAGCCGACCCTTTTTTTTTAAGTTTTGAAAAATCTTGTTTTTAACGGGGTTTGTACGCATAGGTGTTAATGATGAAGAAGAACGCAAATGCAAGATTCCCAAGTTTCTGGTGATGGGCCACAGGGGGGACGGAATGAACATGTTGCAATCGTCTGATCCCAGTATGAAATCCATCAAAGAGAATTCTCTTCTCTCTTTGAATTTGACGTTCAGGTGAGGCTAAAATCAAAGAGAATTCATAATCCTCTGCTTTTTATGATTTTGGGAGCACTGACCGGTTTACCTTTGTTTTTCTTTGAATTCCCTTCCCTAGTGTTTTTCTTTTTCTTTTTCCTTTTTGTTCAATATGGATGAACGAAGAACCTTTTGGACGGATCTTGTAAACAAAAAACCAAAACAAAAAAAATATTTGTTGTAGGTGACGAAAGATGACTACCCAGTCATTTACCATGACAACTTCATCCACCATGAAGAAAAGGTTAGCTATCTTTTCACTTTTTCTTTCAGTCTACATCGGTTATGTTATTAAGCAGGACGATAGACGTTGACCGATGTAGGATTTTATGTTATAGCGAAAACATATTATCAATAGGAAATATAAGAAAAATATAAATTACTAAGCATTTTTGGGTGTCAATTTCAGGGTGCCATTGTTGAGAACAGGGTTACAGAACTTACTTTGACTGGATTTCTCTCATATGGACCTCAGAAACTCTCTGGAACTGTAATAATCTTTGATCTTTCTCTTGGGGCTGTATTATGATGTAGGATGACAGTTTTACGTTAACAGTCCTTTTGTCTTTTGATGAACTATTTTGCAATTCAGGAGGGAAAACCGATTTTCAGGAAACTAAAAAACGGAAGCATCTTCGGGTGGAAGGTTGATCAAGATGCTCCTCTGAGAACACTCGAAGAAGCTTTCCAGAATGTCGATCGATCACTAGGCTTTAATGTCGAATTGAAGTTCGACGATCTTGTTGATTATACAGAAGAACAACTCACGTATACTAAAAGCTATCTTGAAGGTAATATGGTTGTTTCGGATTTGACTAGTTGTATTATGATCATTTAACTAACGAAATAGGCTTCTAAATTTCATAAGCAGGTGGTGTTTGAGAATGCAGAGGGAAGAGCAGTCATGTTCTCGAGCTTTCAACCGGATGCCGCCCGGTTGATTAGAAAATTGCAGAGCGCATATCCGGTAATTGAGGCTTCTTTCTTCAGTATCTGCGTGTGGATGTTATGTTCTTCTGAAAGCCATTAACCTTTCTGTGAACAGGTGTATTTCCTCACCAATGGAGGAACTGAAATTTACACCGACGTGCGACGGAATTCGTTGGCGAGGCTATTAAGCTCTGCGTCGGTAATGGCTTGCAAGGGATCATATCCGAAGCCAGAGCTGTGTTCAGAAATCCCGGAGCAGTTGCAAGAATCAAAGCTCTCCCTCGTAACCTATGGTCAATTGAAGTATGTTATACAATTCTCAAAACATTTTTTCTCGTTTCTAAGCATTGGAATTACATCTGCCTCATCCATGCATTGTTTTGTAATAACGTCCCGGAGGTTGTGTACATGCATCATCTAATGGGCATTGACGGAGTTATCGTTGACTTGGTTAAGGAGATTAGTGAGTCAGTGTCGGATGTAACCTGAGTGGAGGAGGAGGAGGGAGAGAAGAGTTCGTACAGAGAGGATGGGAAGATGGAAGCAAAAGCGAAACCGCAATTTTTGGTTGAAGAACTCTACTTTCGAATGAAGCTAATACCAGAGCTGATGATTCAGACTTGAACTGCGTTGTGCATTGTGTTCCTATGTAAATTGTTGTTGGTTGTTCATTAGACAAAAGAACTTCATTAACTCTTGTTTAGTTGGATCATGCAAACACCCACCGACCAAGATGAAACTTTAGGTCACTTCGCGTTTATGGTTATCCAAGCTAATTAATCACATTATAAAAAAATCAAAATAGGTTAATCAAAGTATGTACACTAAATTACTAATTTGAACATTTTAAAGGACCAAAACTATAATTTAACCCCAAAAACAAATGATATCCACCAATACATCTTCCCTGCTTTGGGCATTTATTCAGCCTGTGAAATTCATTGGTCGCTATTATAAATACTAATATAAACGTTATGGCCCAATAAAAGCTTAAGAACTGTTTTTACCCAAAAAAAAACAATATATAAGTCTTATTTAAATATATAATTATCAAATAAATTTGATAAGTTTTAAGAAAATAAAAAGAGTTTTAAAAATATTTAATACAGTGTTTGAAGAAACAAATTCTAATTTGGATAGATGGAACTCTTGATTCACAAACATTACCATCACGGGTCCAACTCAACAACTTACGTAGTGAAGTTGGAAATGTTAAAGACTTTGACTCAACTTGTATGTATGTATGCATGCATACATGCATGCATGCCTGCATGATATTCTCACATCTTGCTCCACTCTGTTTTACAGAAATTCAACAACTTTTCTTTTTCATTTTGATCATGTAGTGGTAAGATACATACGCATGTATACTTGTACATATGGTATTATTCTATCGTGGGAACAACCGATGACTTCATTTTTATGGGTTTATTATATAGTGAAAGTTCTTGACATTTTAAATGTCAAAGGACCAATTACTGTATTAAATTTACATACATTTTATTTAGGATATTTTATTTACATTTGATCAATGTAAAAGTATAGAGGTAACCACTAAAAAGTTTATAAAACTAAGTTTTACATGCTCATAAACCATTTGCCAATCCCTCTTAATATTGATAACTAAATTATTATTTAACGTTTTCAATAATAATTAACAAATATTCATTTTAATTACTAATAATTTTTATTAATTAAAATCTTTGAATCCTTCTGAATAGTAACTAGCATTGTAAATGACGTGAGATAAATCGTGAATTATTTGAGTTCATTTTTATCTAGTAAATATGGATGGTGGGAGTGTTGGAAAAAAGAGTGAAATTCATTGATAAATTTAATAATTAAATTAATATCCCTTTTGAATATTTTAAATTTAAAGGTATTTATCTCTTTAATTTAAATATTAGTAGGATAATTATTCTTTTAAATATCTCAAATTAAAAAATATTTATTATCTATTTAACTTTGAATATTAAAATATAATTCTATCCTTTCAAATATTTCAAATTAAAATAATATCTATTTAAGTTTGAATATTAAAAGTTATCCATATCTTTTGAATATTTCAAATAAAAAAGTTATTGTTATCTATTTAAATTTGAATATTAAAAGATACATATTTTGTTTAAATCTCTTTTAAGAATCCCTATAAATATTGTGTTAACATGTTAGGTTAAATATATATCTTTTGTATAAATATTGTGTTAACATGTTAGGTTAAATATATCTTTTGTTTCCCTCTTTTTCCAGTAGACAAAGGTAAAGAATAGTTTTGTGATTGATTATTTATTTGTTGCATTTTGAGAGATGGACGATCAAATATCTCGAGCAATAAGAAGCGATTGAAAATTTGTCTTAAGGAAATAATGTGCGATAGGCCTCAATTCGTTTTCGATGGATAGATTAATCAAACCATCACGGATCTCGAGCACCAAAGAGTGGTCGAAATTTTGTCTTAAGAAAACTGTGTGCCATAGGTCTAAACGATCGATAGATCAATCAAAAAGAGTTTGATTTTGTCTCGAATTTTTATTATTATATAACAATATTAAGATAGGTTTAAACTCATTCTTCTACCTTCCTTTAATCCGAGATGATTTGAAAATTATGATAAAATCGAGATAGTAAATAAATTTGTTTCGAGATTTATCTTGTCGTCTCAACGAATTTGTTTAAATCTCAAAATAGATAAATATGTTTAACATAAATTACAGTGAAAATCACATTGGTTACTGATCTTGTTTTAGAAAGTTGATTCCGTCCGACAATAAGATTTTTTTAACAATGAGAATTAATTTTTTATTTATTGAAATTATTATTAATTCTAGTTACATTTCTATTCCGGAAAAAAATTTAAAACTTATTTTGGGAGATTAATTTAATATATTAATTTGTTGAAAAAAGATTTGGAAGCGGCTTAGGTCGTACCATGGTCCATTTGTACATTTATACACAAAAAAAAAGTGCTTTACCTATTGAATTACGGGCGGGTCGGATGCGGATAATCTCTTCCTCATCCCCATACCCACCTAATATTTTCAAATATACCATCCGTTTCCCACTCATGATGGGTAAATTTTTTCAAATCTACACCCGCCTACGTGGGTACATTCTCAAATCCATCTCCACACCCACTATCCAACTAGAGACGTACCCGGCTAGACCCGTCTGACAGCAACCTTAAGTAATACATAAGCAACAAACATAAAAATAAACACGTCTATTAAGAAACATAATAAAATAAACCAATGATTGTATGAGTTAAGTGTTAACATACATCTTAAAGTACATAAAACACCATAATAAAAGACATAATTAAAGTATAGAAACATAAATATCAAACACATAATATTTTTATTCTTTGACACAAACCCTAAAATTATACTTAAATTTATAATATTTCAAAATTTAATGGTATTTAGTGGACGGGCAGATGCGGATGCGGGACGGGTAAGGTCTCAAACCCATCACCCACCCACTACTCGTGACGGGTACCACTTTTTAAATTCATATCCGCCCACTATCCACTAAAGTTATACCCATCCATACTCTAATTAGAACGAATACAATGTATAATCCACGAAATTGTACTCATTTACCATCTTTATTCATGATGATAAAAGAGAGCACTAACTTTCCTTTTCTCTTTATATGACTAATGTCAAACGATGGCTGTCCTTTACAAGAAGAAATGGCATTATACATAAATGATTGATACAAAGGGTGTTTAATTTATTCATTAATATCATAATATTAGGGCAAAGCCATTTGGGATTACTTTATCTAGAGCGGGAGAGATCAACAATGAGAACACAAAGAGACATTTTCCACTACGAGAAAAGCGAAAAGACAATCTCCACTGAACAACACATTTTACTCAAAATAAAATAATTGCAGCCTTTGAGGTGTGTGTATTAGTCCTTAAAACCCTCATCAACAACCACACGCAAACACCTTTTACCCTCCACAAACTTTTTTCTTTTGAAAAAACAGCTAAAGAAAGAGAGGGAAGTTTGTGTACGAAACCCAGCTTTTATTTCCATTTACTATTTCATTCATTCAAGTGGGGTGTGTGAGCATTTGCCCGTGGGTGTTTCTTTTTATCAGCAGTAATTTTGATTATATTTTTATTCTAATCTTATGGTATACCTAATGATGATATAATTATTGTAACCAAAGAAATAATGATATAATTATTTAAATCTTATGATATTTTTACAGGAGAACATACGACTTTTTTTGTAAATAGGAGAAAATTATAGTCTATGGTTTTTGGAAGAGTTGGAAATTATGGAATTTGATCCATATCCTTACTAAATATTATATTATAAATTAATTAAATTAAATTTTAATTTCAAGTATACTCTTAGATATTGATAATGATTATTAAAGTAAATAATTAAAAGATTAAATAGACAATTTATCCTATATTCTATACGTAGTTGAGTGCTTCAAGCTTTTCTTTCTTTTGTTCTATATTCTACAAGATGAGTTCGTCATGCTAGATGAGTACTACTAATAATGATCACCGTTGAACACATTAATTTAATTTATAAAAATTTAAAATTTTGAATGACTCAAACGTATAATTACAAATTAGTTAAAA